AGAAGGGGTCCATGGGCTGCACCAAAGGTGCCCGTGACATAATTTACTCCCCATAATCCCTCCTAGGCTGGAAACCAGGGTAGGATGGGTGACCTGCCTGAACTAAAAGGGAGACTGGGGACCTATAGAAGGGCAGGATCATGCTCAGGGTCATCAGCAGTGTGGTGAAAGTGAATGGGACCTGGTCATTCCTCATTCTCTGGTCTATTGTGTCTGACCCTAGCCAGCCCCTGAGAAGAGGTCCAGAGCCTGAGTTACAGCTCCCACCTCAGGAGGGTGGAGGGTTGGGGGCAGGGGGAGCTCTGGTTCCCCCTCCCTCATTGCTATTTGGAATGTTGATTCCTGTCCAAGAATTCCCCAGGCCCCTGGAGTCCCACGGTCCCGACCCTCTTGGTCTCTTGGGATGACGTCAGTAACAGGGCATCTGTTAGCGATTACCAGCTTTTGGGGAGGGGGGAGAGACTGAAGAGGAGGGTATATTTCCAGCCGTCCTGTCCCCAGGCCGTGAGTGTTGGGGTGGGGGGTGGATGTTCCAGAAGGCAGCCTTCTTTGCCTCAACCCCCAGCCCAGGACTCAGGGGCATGACGGCTGGAGCCTGTCAACTGGAAGGCCGCCCCCCTCCCTCCCCGCCTCCCCAGCCAGCTGCCCTCCTGCTCCCAGAATCCTGCCTCAGCTCCCTCCTCAGCTTTCTCACAATCCCTGAGACCCTCAGACAGCTCTGACTGTGGGAATCTGGGGGGCGGGGGTGGGGGGGGGGGGGAGGAGTTGTCTTGCTTGGAGGACTCTGGAGTCAGATTCCTTGGCATTCAGGCTTCCCATATCCCTGTCTCCACTTAGAACCACTTAAGCGGGTGACACTGATCCTAGCCTCAGGGGAACCAGTCTTGGTCAGCATTCTCCTGATTCCTAGTAGGGCAGATACTCTACAATCTGCACCCCCCCCACCGCATACCTTCAAAACACACAGACACACACACTCACGCTACTTTGGCTACTGCTACATCCAGACCCATCTCCCCTCTCCCATGGGATTTGGAGTTGATGCAGGCTCCACGAGATTGGCCCCGCCTGAAATCTTAATCCATTCCATAAAGAGAGGGAGCGTTGACCTGACAGTCAGGAGAACAATGTAGAGTAGTGGTGGGTAGAGGGCTAGATTTGGAGTCAAGAAGATCTGGGTTCAAATCCTACCTCCAAACCTTACCAGCTATTTAACTCCAGGCAAGCTACACATTCTCTGAGCCTCAGTATCCCCATCTGTAAAATGGGGATATAATACCGTATAGCAGTGGTGTCAGACTCAAAGAGCAAGCAGGGCCACTAATCCATACATAAGGATCCTTGAAGGTGCACATTAATTTTAAAATGTAACATTATCTGTGTTCTATTGTATTTTTATTTATTTTGTTAACTATTTCCCAATTATATTTTAATCTGGTTCAGGCTGGCTGGAAAGTGTTGTGGGCCATATGTAGCCTGTGGGCATGTGTTTGACCTCTCTGCCTTTCGGGGGGATATTGGCAGGCTTAAATGTGATCATCTATGTAAAGTGCTTTGCAAATTTGAAAGCACTCAATAAATGCCAGTTACTACTCTTCGAGCCTCAGCTCTGCCACTTAGGTGTCCCTGGAAACATTACTTCAGATCTCTGGACCTTACTTCCCCCATCTTTAAAATGGGTGGGTAACCTCCAATACCGAAGTTTACATGTTGGCCCCTGATAAAAAACCAGGGGCATATGAAGGAAGGACATCCCTGCCTATGTAGGGACTGCCTTCCATCTCTGATATTTTATGGTCATTAGTCCTCCATGTCCATTCCATCTGGCTTGGCTCTAAGAGCTTTAAAAATGCAGTTGGTACCTCTCTGGGCCTCACTGTCCTCATCTGTTATGTGGGAAGAGTAACACTTGCTCTGTTGACCTCAAGGGATCTTTGTGAGGGTCAAATGAAATAATGGATGCCAAAGTGCTTGGCAAACTTCAGAGTGCTAGACAGACTAAGGCATTTATTATTGATATCCTCTCCTGGTCTCCTGTGGTGCTGGGAGACTGGGATCTGTATGGGTAGCAACTATAACTTCATCCATTGTGAGAGGTCGCTGTGCTCTGGGAAGGATTCAGGTCTAAGGGTCATGGTAGTCAGAAAAAGGCTAGGTGGTGCTGAGCAAGGAACACAAAAATGCCTCACCTCTGTGTTTCTCTGACCTCACAGGGAAGCCAGCCACACATGGGGAAACTGAGCTTCCCCTCTCTTTATCAGTCAGTATCACTGATACACTATCTGCTATGTGCCAGGCACTATGCTAGGTGCTGCAGCTACAAAGACCGAACAACAATTCCTCTTCTTAAGGAATTCAGATTCCCTTGGCCGGTGATGAGTCCAGCATCTGGTCTCCCTGGTGATGGTAAGACTGAATTTCTCAGCTGTCAATCCTCCAAACTACAAAGGTCCCCTACAAACTCCTAAATACAAAGGTTCCACAACTTCTGGTACAGACACACCAGAGAGAATGAGGAAGAGCTGAGCTGGTGCTCTGATAGCTGTCTCCTACCTTGAGACATACTCTATGGCCAAGCCCACAGCTCCCGGCATAGTTGGGTACACAAGATTACCCTACGGACACACGCTTACATAACATGGGACCTCCCAGCATAACACAGAGATGCGGAAGTCACCCAGATTCCTAGGGCCACACTAGGCTGCCTCAGAAAAGCTCCCCTTGCTCTCTTTGCTCTGGGGTTCTCCCATGGATAATCGGTGCGTGCCCAAGTGAAGGGGGGGGGGCTGCATGATAAACACCAGCCCAGAAGCTTCTTGAACATGAAAGTGGCATATCCTCTACAGTGCTGAGATGAATGAATGAATGAATGAGGCATCAGACTTTCCAAGAGATTTCCCTTCTGGATTTTATTTCTGGAAAGATACTTGATGACTATTTCAGAATATCGGCCACCACCACCCAGAATCTGGCAGATGGGCACTAGGAGAAACCTGGAGTTTCTGGGATTCTTTGTTTCACCAAAAGGAAGATCTCATCTTGGCTGTCCCCAGAAGGCTCTGGTCTATCCCCTTCACTAATTTTTTGGATGACATCCCTGAGTCTTAAGAACCTTCTGGATACTCCAATGACTCTTTTCCTCAAAGACTGGGAACAAGGACAGGAAGTGGCCACCCCTTGACACCCCTTGGCATAAGTCCAGATAGGATGAGGACAGGAAGATCCACTCTTTTCTGTATCCTTCTTCCCAGGTCAGCAGCCAACTTGCTGAAGGAATTGGGGCTGATTCTTTCTCCCCTTCAGGCCTCTATTTTTCCCTTTTCATCCACATAGAGAGTCATCTCACTCTAAAAGCTGAAGGAGGAACATCAGATTGAAAAGTGCCATGAACTCTCTGAAAAAGGGAGAAATGGGTTATTAAAACTACTTATTAGCATGATTATTTAAGCTAACGAAGGAATTAGCAAGCATTAATAATCAAAATAGATTGGCTTATGTGATCAATTAATGTAATTAATGCTGATTAATCAATTAATTGAACTGATTTATCTTAATCTTTGCTATTATTGAATAATTGAGCACCTTGTGAGTATACAAAATAAAAATATAAAAATAGGTGAATGGAGCCAGCTATTTTAAATAATTATTATGCTTAATTAATGGAGCTGATTTTTTTAAAACATGATTTTCTTTTTAATTACTGGATTTGATAATACTGGAGAAGAATCAAGTGAAAATATAGCAACTGAATTAATCTGGATAGATCATATTAGTATTTGAGCAAAGGGAGGCCTTGGAGTCATCCTTCTCTTTTTAAAGACTTGGAAACTGAGGCCTAGTGAAGGCAAGGGACTTGCTCATTATCTCAAGGCCAGTGAGTAATCAAGCTGAGCCTGGAAGCAGGTTTCCTTGCAGGATGCAGCCCAGCATTTGTGCTTCTGCCTGCCTCAGACTCATTCTACAGCCTCATGCCTCATGGGGCCTTGGCCCTCAGACTCAACAACTGTTTCTTGGCCCTGTCTGCCCTTCTGCCTTCTTGAACTCCCCAGGGCTTTGCCCTTGAGCCACCAGGCCCTAGGTGGGAGGAACCTAGGCAGGAAAAGCCAGAGGAAACACTTGTTCGATCCCAATGTCCCAGGCCCTCCCTGTTCCCAGAAGTGGAAGGATATCCGGACCTGAATGGCCGGAAACTGTAGGATGAACTGCCTCACCCGGGAAAAACAGGGTGGTGTTGGAGAGGTAAGGGAATGCTTCATTCTATCTCCCTGCCATATACCCTCCAGAGAGGATTTGGAACCATGCAGAGCGTTCCTCTGTCTACCTTAGATGGCTGTCTGTGGCTAAACTATAGGATGAAGAATTGGGGTCAAAAGTTGGGAAGCACTTCCTGCTGCTGCTCATGGTGGGGAGTGCTAACTTGAATCATTAAATGATGGAACAGAAAGGGAATGTAGCTATGAACCAGGCCATCTCCCTCAATTTATATGAGAGGAAAGGGGACTAGGTCCAGAAAAGGATGAAGACTTGCCCAAGGTCATAGCATGTGCATAGAATCATGAGATTTTAGAGTCATCACAAAGGTAGGACTAGCACCCAGGTGTCTTGACACCCAGCTTGGTGCCATTACACCCCTGTTTCAAGAGAGGTTACTGAGAAAGGTTCAGAATGTATCTGTTTAGTACCTTTTAGCCCAGATATAGTCCCGGCTATAGAGGGAGACATCTTAGCCCTTAGCATCCTTAGCCCCTCTCCTTGCCCACCAATCCTTCAATCAACAAGCGGTTATTAAGTGCCTACTATGTGCAAAGCAATATGCTTCAGAGGGGTCCTCCACCTGGGAGAGCTTGGTGGAGTCTGGGGGGATGCACATGGTGATGGTTGGGAGCACTCACTTTCTTCTGTTCTTTGCAGTGTCCAGAGTGGTCTGGAGTCAGGAGGGGACTATGTGAAGGTGAGTACTCCATTGTCTTTCTTTCCCTTTTTCCATCATCTGAAAGGGAGGAAGGGGCTAGTAGTAGGGCTGAGTTTGAGGAAGTTGTACAGGTCTTAGAGTAGTGGGTTACCCCTTTCCAGTGTGCTGCCTCAGAGAAGACTTGAAAACACATAGAACCACAGAACAATGGGAACATAGAACACCAGCCCTAGAGTCCAATCAGGCCTCTGACATTCCCTGTATGACCTTAAGCTCACTGGGCCTCAGTTTTCTGATATATAAAGTGGGGGTTGTTAGACAAGTTGATCTCTGAGTCCCTTCTGACTCTAGATTTATGACGCATTTATGAAATCTCAGAGCTGAGATTGGAACCCAGATCTCCTGACTTCCAGCCTTGTTAGCTCCTTTCACCACCTGCCAACTGTTTCTTATACTCAAGATGAATTGAAGGAGGAGAGATGACAGGATGATGAAGAGTCTGGATGACATATGAGCAATAATCTGGAAGAGGGAGATGGCTTTATCACATGGGAGAGAAAACAGAGGGCAGAAGAAAACCAAGGCAGAAGTTACAGGGAGGCAGATTTCAGCTCAGTAGAGGGAAGGACAATTTAGAGCTGTCCAGCAGTGGAAATGGGCCGCCTCACTGGGTAGTACTGAAGGTAATGGGATCATAGGTTTGAAGCTGGAAGTGACTTTAGATATCTTCTAGTCAAACCCCATCATTTTTACAGATGGGGAAAATGAGGTCTAAAGGAGGGCAAATGACTTGCCCAAGGTCACAGGGGCAGTGAAATGGCAGGATATGAATCCCAGACTCTTTGACTTAGTCCTTTGACAGCAGGGACTGGTTTTTTTTTTCTTGTTTGTTTGTTTGTTTGTATCCCTAGCACTTAGCACTGTGTCTAGAATATAGTAGGTGCTTAATAAATGTTTATTGACTGACTGACTCCAAATCCAACATTCTTTTCACTGTAACTTCTGTCAAACATCACTTGTCATTGAAGGGTTACTGCACTGAGAGGAAGCTCAAATGAAATTATTATTATTAACAATAATAAAAATAAAAATCACACTAAAAGGGAGGTTAACTAAGTGACCTCTACTTAGTTCTGGAATTCTAAAACTCTATGCTTCTAATATTCTAAAATTCTGTATAGAAGGCCTATTGTGAGTCCCTTTGTAAGGCAAAGAGTCCCTTAATTTATTCTTTTAATGCAAATAGGATTTTTTTTTTAAATTCATTACAGTTGATTGATTCTGAACTCACTCCTTCAATAAGATGTTCAGGGCCAGGAGTATGTTTATGTAGGGGAATCTTTAGCGCCTCCCCCCCCCCCCCCCAATAGAGCACGAAATACCCTTAGCCCGTTCTCCCTTCAAGACCCCACTATAAAGTTCTCTCAGGGGGTTCTCTCGTCAGCTCCCCCAGATCCCTCCCCACATGGTAATTCGTCCTAGGGACATGACCCTTTCTATCTCAGACCTTCCTACTGCAGAGCCTAGGAGACCCGGGATGGAGCTGGCCAGCACTCCGGGAAGGAGAAAAAGGAAAGGGGATGTAAGAGAGGAGAGGGAGGAGGGGGCGAGTCTGGAGGCAGGCTGAGGGAGGAACAATAGCCCCCTCCCCTCTCCCTGGCTGGCTAGGGGGGTGGGGTCTCCCCGCCCCCCCCCCCCCCCCCCCCCCCCCCCGCCCCCCCCCCAACCAGGGGACGGGGGAATTGAGGAAGAGGCACGGACCCAAGCTGAGCGGCTGCTGGTGGCCCCAGCCCTGGTCCCAGCCCAGCTCAGCCCCTCTCAGTGCGCCAGCCCCCTACCACCTTGCTAACCCCAAGTGAGTCCTTGGGCTCCTGCTGCCCCCGGGCCCCGAGCCCAGAGCGGCCAGCGATGACGGAGCGCTGCAGCCTGTGGAGTGCCCTGTCAGCGGCGGCATGCTGCTTCTACCGGGGCTCCTTCGTGCAGGTGAGGGGTCGAGGGCTGGTGGGAGGGAGGCAAGAGGATGCCCTTTGCCTCAGGGCTTCAAAGGGTCAGGTGGAGTAATATCCTGGACCAGGGGCCAGTTGTTTAGGAGCCGAGGCAGCTGAGCCGAGGACACCTCAGGGTTGTTTCTATAAGGGGACAGCGGCGGTAGGCAGGGGACCATGTCATTCTTATGTGTTGTGGGGCTTGTGGCTAATAGGGGACCCCTCTTGCCTATTGGCTTCATGTTTGGGGTCAGAAGAGACAAATGGGTGCTGCCCACTTGGTGTGTAAGGGGGTGGGTGGGTGGGTGAACCTACTGCGGGGCTGGCTGGTCTGCCGCAAGGTGAGGGAAAGGGGGGACCTGCCCCCACCCAGAAAGGAGAGGGTGCTGTTCTCTCACTGACCCCCATCACCAAGCTCAATGTCCTTGTCACTTGTGGGTGACAGGGGGAACACCCTCCATTCCTTCTGCCTCCCCCACCCCCTTCCCCTGTAGGTGGAGGATCTGGAGGGAGCAGCCGCATCTCCAATTCTGGTTTCAGGACATTGGTCTGTGCCTCCCCCGGTGCCAGCTCATTCTGCGGAGCTAGAGCTCTATGGGTCAGAGGGAGGCAATGGGGTCACTGTCTCCTGCCGAGTGGCCCTTGATGCCCCGAAGGAGTTCCCTTCTACCACAGCCCCTTCCCCTCTACAGCCAATCTGGAGCTCTGAGCCTCTTCAAACTTGGGGAAAGAGAGTACAGTGGGGAAGAAGGGGATTGTTCTCATTGTATCCAGGGGACTCTGATCTCTGGTTTCTGTTCTGTGGCCATGCTGGGGGCAGGAGGGTTGGTGAGGAAAAGCTTTGGGACTTGGGACTGGGCTGGTGCTTAAGTGCAAACCACTTACCTGCCCTTTGGAGAATTGCCTGGGGTAGGAGTAGGGGTTGGGTTTGGACTGTTGCCCCAGCAGGCACTGTCACATCTGAGGCAGGGATCTCAGAACCCGGCCTGGCTAGTGCAGGTATGGGACTAGATCCTGGCATTGAAAGAGTTAACCAAGAGCCAAGGAGCCAGGGGAGGGGGAGGACCTCAGTCTCCCTGGATGAGCATCAATCTTGGATGTGTTAGGCTTCCATAGGGTTGGGAAACTGAGGCACGGGAAGGGTTAAAAGAGAAATCAAGTGGGAAAAGGGGGCTAGACAGGAGGAGACTAGTCACACACCCCCAGTCATTGCTTTGCCATCTTCCCTTCACTTTACCATCTAGGCTCCAGCCTCTTTCAGGGAGACAGAGAGCTGATCATTTCTCCCTTTCCCTGTTTCCCCCTCTCTCTCACACACGCTCATCCCTGAGCCCTGCATGAATGACTGGCCCCCATCCAGCTGACAACAGCATCCCTGAGGCCTCAACCAATCACACACCAGCAAGCTGGGAAGCAGTGAGATCATCTCTGGCCAATGACAGGGCAGAGAGCGGATGCAGCACCGGGGACTCTCTTCTATCCATCCGCTCTCCAGCATCCCCTCCTCCCCTAGACTCTAGGGGCATAAACCCTCTGGGTTTAATGTAAGGACCCCTAATGACAAGGAGGTGATAGGGGCTCAGGTGTCCCCCTACCCTAAGCTTTAGGGGGATCTTTTCAGCTGTAGTTTGCATGGGCTGGATCTGTCTGTCTTCAAACTCTTCACTCAGAATGTCAGAGCTGGGACAAGCTAAGATTCAGAGTGGAGCCGTGACATAAGGTGATACAGCCCATCTGTAGAACAGACCCTGTCAAAAGCTCATTTGCACTGAAACACGTTGTCTCCCTTAGCTCTCTGGGTCTTGAATTTTGGAATGGAGTTGCTTAAAGCAATGACCAAGATAGAGGCTGGACAGGGGAAGATTTCAAGATACAAATTTCTCTTGCATCCTCCCCCCAAGCTAAGTCAAGGCAACTGCTTTTCTTCCTGTCCTGTCCTGATAAGGGAAATAGCAACCCCTCATCTCCCTCCCTCCTGGTGCTATTCTCCCAGGCCCTAGGTCTCTCCAGGATTCCGTCAGCCTCCAGCCCACTGGGAATGGAAAAGCCAAGAATAACTTGTCGAAGTTCACACCTGTGGCAGGAAAAGAGGGAGGAGGGAGGACCAGGGCATCAGGTGTCAAATTGTAATGACTGGAGAGAAAGAAAAGGCATAGAGATGTAGTGGGAAGAGGGTTGGCTTACAGTCAGGAGCTCTGGTTTTGGAAAATCCTGGCTCTCCCACTAACTCTCCATGTGACCTTGGGAAATCCCTTTCTTTCTCTGGGCCTCTGCTTTATCATCTGGTAAATGTGAATCCTCATTTCTGCCCCGCCTACAACCTAGGATGACCTTCTGGATGGGAAAGCTCTTTCCAGAGACAAGCGAGGGATTCTCCTTATTATTGGGGAAATCACCTTCCAGACACTGGGCCTCAGTGCCTCCAGGGATGGGGGAAGCCATTTGCAAAGGGATCAGATAGGAGGATGTGAGGAATTCCCAATCTGTGGCTAACACCCCCTGTCTTTCTTTTCCCAGTTCTCAAAGGAGAAGTACATATTGGATTCTTCTCCGGAAAAACTTCACAAAGAACTGGAGGAGGAGCTCAAACTGAGTAGCACTGACCTCCGAAGCCATGCCTGGTACCATGGCCGCATTCCCCGAGAGGTGAGTGGGGGCCCAAATGCCTGGGGCCTGGCTCTGGTTCTCAGTGAGCTGTGTCCAGATGAGCCTAGCTTCTGGTGATTTAAAAATGGTTCTCACATTTGCATCTGCCTGGATGCAGGGGAAGAGATGAAAGTTGGAGTGTGGTGATTGTCCAAGCTGTGTGGAAGGACAGGGTTAGTGTGGACTTTCCCACAGCCTGGGGTCATAGGTTCCTAGGACTTTAGACCTAGGGTTGGAAGGGATCTCAAATGCCATCCAACCTCTTCATTTTAAAGATGAGGGATTGAGGCCCAGAGAGCAAAAATGACCATGATTACACAGGTAGTGAGTGGCAGAGCTGGGAAATTTCATTCATGACTTGGGTATTATTGGCTTTCTAGATGGTGGCTAGAGGCAGGAAGAGCCTTAGTAATCCAGTATTTCCAAAGGCTTAAGAATCTCTGGATCCTCTTCCTGAGAGAGGAAGGAGCTAGGCTTTCTGTAACTGATGCTCCTACCTCCCAGCCTTCTGTTCCAGCCCCGGTCCCAGCCCACTGTATATATCACACTCACAAGATAGAGCTTGCTCACGGACTTGAAAAATACAATTCAATAGTATAATCTGTGTAGACTTCCTAGTGTGGGAAGAAAACCTCCATGGAGGCAGAGTGAGGTTTGTGTGAGCAAGAGTCAAACAGTTGCTTTATATAGAGTGCCCCCTCCAGGGAAGCGCTCAAACACTGCTTGGTGGTGGTGACAGTCATTGGTGGTGATGATGGTGATAACAATGTTGGCAATCATAGTGGTATAATAATGGGGTTGGACAGCGGCAATGGTGGTAACGCTGGTGATGGCGATGGTGATAACAATAGTGACAAGCATACTTATGGAGGTAATGATAAGAAGGCTGATGATGGAGAAGTGAAGGTGGTAAAGTGACTGATAGAAGTGATAATGAGGATGGTGGCAATGATAATGATTTAGTGATGCTGGTGATATAGGAACTGTAGTAGTGATGATGGTGGTGGCGGTGGTGACAATAATGTTGATTACGATGACATGAGTGTGGACGTGTCTGACTTTCTCGCTTCTCCTGCTCACCCAGATACTTGGCTCTGAGTGTAAACTTCCTCTGCCCCTTGTACCTTGGGTCTTGATATCGACATGACCCTGCCCTTCTCTCCTCTCTTCCCTTTTCCCAAGTTCCAGGTTCTGAATACGTTTCTCCACAGGTCTCAGAGAGCTTGGTTCAACGGAATGGTGACTTCCTCATCCGTGACTCACTAACTAGCCTTGGTGACTATGTCCTCACCTGTCGCTGGCACAACCAGCCCCTGCACTTCAAGGTCAACAAGGTTATGGTGAAGGCCAGTGAGAACTATACCCATATCCAATACCTCTTTGAACAAGAGAGCTTTGACCATGTACCTGCATTGGTCCGCTATTACGTAGGAAGCCGCAAGGCTGTGTCCGAGCAGAGTGGAGCCATTATTTACTGTCCCATCAACCGTACCTTCCCCCTGCGTTACCTGGAGGCCAGTTATGGGCTTGGTCACAGCAAATCTGGGGGCCCCGCCAGCCCCTCCAGCCAGAAGGGAGGCCACATGAAGAGGAGGAGTGTCACCATGACCGATGGGCTGACAGCAGACAAGATAACCAGGGGCGAGGGCTGCCCCACCAGGTAACGGGCCTGCAGCAAATCACTTCTCTTTCCTCTCAGTTTCTCCCTCTGTAAAATGTAGCAGTTGATGATATCTGAGGTCCCTTTCAGCCTTGGCATTCTATGTTCAGTGGCTCTATGCTACCCACCGGTGTGCCTACCTTGTTCTTTTGAGGGGAGGAAGAGAGGATCCTTGTCCGCCTAGACCTTACTGAGCTAAGATGAGATTCTCCTTGATTTCTCAATACCCTATATCACCTGGTGGTAGAGCTAGGAGAAGGAAGTAGGGTCTTCACCATGAGTGTGTGCACACTCCCATTTCCCCCAAGGAAGGGGATAACAGTGCCCAGGACACTGGGCACTGACATAACTTTCTTCTAGAAGGCTTTATTGTGGATAGGACCCAGGCACCTGGATCCTAGGACCCCCTTTTTCTTCCCCAATATGTTTTCTTGGTCTCTTCTCAAAGACCTTTCTATAGTTTATCATAGAACCCCAGAATCCTTACCCATTGGGACTTAGCCCATGACATGAATGAGAGAAAGCCACTCCTGGGTCATTTCCTCTCTGTGCCCCCTGGGCGAGGAGGTACCTACTTTCATCCTGGGCCTGAGAATGTTGGAAAGGGCCTGGTGCTGCTTGAGCCTGGATCAATCCTGGGTGGGCAGCAGCAGAAATGCTTGTGGCCTGGAATCAAAGGCTGAAACCTGTGCCAAGAACCACAATGCATGCAATGAAGCCAGGTGTTAGAGAGCATGGAGGCCCTGATGGGCTCCGGGAGCTCAGAGCTGGGACACCACCCTTTACCTTCCTCATCATCCCTGCCAGCTTCTCAGCCCTCTCTGTTCCAAAGGAATGGATTGAGGTCTGTCCACTCTGAAGCAGGTGGCATAGATGGTGCATTTGGTCTCTTCACTGTGTACCTCCCCTGGGAAGGGCTCTGGTTTTGTTCTCCAAAGAGAGCCAGACAGATATCCCAAACCCAGGGGTTAAAAACTCTATGTTATCTGGGCCAGTTTCAGAGAGAGAGAGGTTCTGTGGGTGAAGGGTTAAGTGAAAGGAAGAGAGGGAGGGATAATGGGATTATGTCAACTAGGTTTCACTCTGAGGAGTAGACACTGAGGCACATGATCAGGGAGAAACCTTGCAGCCTGATCCTAGAAAGGGGCTCTCTGCTGAGGAGGGGGAGAATCAGTTGCAGACATGCTTCTTGGTTTCACTGGTCTCTGAATGAACCATCCTCCTGACCTCAAACCTCCAATGTTCAGAATGATCAGTCCAGACTTCGTAGGATAGAGGAGGGGGATGTAGGGAAGGGAAGACATTCTAGGGTTAGGAAACCTGGACTGGAAGGCTGGGGAACAGAAAATGGAGGCAGGGTAGGGAAGGTCGGGCAGAGTAATGGAGGGGCCCAGGACAAGAGGACAACAAGTGGGGATAGCCAATAGTGGAGGGTACCCAGGTGAGACAGGTACTGAGCTGAGGGGATGTACTCTGCTCTTCTCTGGTCTGCAGTGTGTCTCTGCCTCCTCACCGTGATACCATCCGCAACTGTGCCCTCAGCATGGACCAGATCCCAGACCTGCACTCCCCCATGTCTCCCATCTCTGAGAGCCCTGGATCACCAGCCTATAGCACTGGTATGGCCCTGCAGGAAGGGAAGAGGGAAGGGAGGGCTGGCTACCAATAGCCTCTCTGGGCCTCCAACTGCGAATTGTTATCTGTGTGTGTGTGTGTGTGTGTGTGTGTGTGTGTGTGTG